ATCGTGTTCGTACCTAGCAGGCAGGGCTCCATGTGGCTCCCTCTTGGAACTCTATAAAAAAATGTATAGAAGGAATCCTACAATTTAGGGAGATCAGCCCTGACCATGGAATGACGGGATCGGGCAACCTCGCGCCCACGCGTTCTGAATTTAGAGGTTCGGTCTTTAATACCCTAAACCCTAAATTAAACCCTAAACCCTAAACCGTATTTAAGAGTTAGAATAGGGTTTTGGGGTGAGCGTGTTACCAGCCGCGCCGACCCGTTTTTTGGAGGAGTCCAAAATCTGAGATTCTCGGGCGCGCAGGAAAGGGGGCAGGTTGGAGCCAGCAGGGTTCAGGGCTTGCAAGAAGATGAGACTTGAGATCTGGGCTGCGAAAGCCAATTTTGGGTGCCTCAATATTTAGTTATATTATTTTGGGTGGGGCTCCTTATTATAACTATACTATAAAGGACCCCAAACCTTATTCTAATTATGAAGGCCCCTATGTTGAGACACGGTCAGATCAGCAAGGGCGCAGCGCGAGCTGGTCATTTTCTGCATGCACCATGGTGAAGAAAAGGCTGGGTTTTTCGATCTCAACGGCCGCACCCCTCATCGACATAAACCCTCTCGCATTATGGCGAGCTCTAGAGCAGCAGAAAAGTGCAGCGACAAGGTCAAGTTTTTGCGGTTCAACTAGACTACTCAGTATTCGCGGCTGACTTGCATGTACACGGTGAAAAAAGACAAAGTTCTCCGATCTGACGACCCATCGCTCATAGACATAGACACTTTCGCATTGTGGCAAGCGCTAAGCAGCGGAGCATCGCGACGGTGTGCTCTCTGGAGTTCTTGCCAGATATGGGGGGGATTCCGAAAATAGGGGACCCTAATACAGTACCCTAAATACTAGGATCCTTATTATAAGGACCCCAAAATAAGGTATCCCCTATTTTCGGAAACTCCCATATGTATCACACTGCCTGAGACAAACTCCGATGGGGGGTGGTGGGTCCAGCCAGGGCAGGAAAGGGGTCCCCCTTCCTCGCCCTGGCAGTAAATCAGCTAACGCAACCTGTCATGGTGGGGGATTAGGGTTTAGGGCTTTAGGGGTTTAGGGGTTAAGGGGTTGGGGGTTTAGGGTTTAGGGTTTAGGGTTCAGGGTTTAGGGATCGATCTTACAGCCGAGGGGGGGTGGCACCCCCTAGCCGCCCCGCAGCCCCTTAACCAATTGATTTTCATGCCGCGGCCTGGGGTCGCTTGTTGACCCACCTGAACACTAGAGAGGAAGTTTGTGAACGACAACTCCCGCAAGCTCCAATGAGCTAACTGTCGTTATGTCAATGAGGCTAGCTTTTTGCGCTCTAGGCGTCCGGGATTAGGAGTGGGAGTCTTGCGGTTTTCGGAACGGGGCCGCCCTTAACCCCAAACCCTAAACCCCCAATCCTAAACCTAAACCCTGAACCCTAAACCCTAAACCCCAAACCCCAAACCTCCAATCCTAAACCCTAATCCCGAAACCCCAATTCCTAAACCCCAAGCCTGAACCCCTAAACCCTAAACCCCAAGTCCTAAACCCTCAAGCCTCAAGCCGAAGCCGAGCATCTGGAACTGCTCCCCAGTTCCGTAGTCCCGGTAGGACCCGGCCTCTTCCAAGGATCTCTTCACTTGGGGCTTGGGGTTTGGGTTTAGGGTTTGGGGTTTAGGGTTTGGGGTTTATAGAAGGTGTGGTTTGGGTGCGCAGTTTTGGTGGGTTTTGGCGGTGTTGAGCGGGTTTTGAGTGAGTTCTTGCTCGCCCTGCGCCTGCCCTGCCCTGCCTGCCCTGCCTTCCCCTGCTGAAGTCGCCCCAGCTGCACTCTCCGCTACCGCAGTGCCTGCCCAAACACGTGTCTCGACACATGGTGTCCCTGGTCCCACCACGGTTCCTGGCCGACCTCTCCCGCACCAAAGTCTCGCTTCCCTTGAAACCACCGCCGTGCAAAGCCCAGCAGCCCTGACCACTGCTGTTGGCACTGTTTTAAGGGTCCCCTCACCTGCCGCAGCGCCGGTCCACACTGTCCCTGCAAGAGAAACGACCGGAACTTTGGGTGTCGACTTTGAAGTCCCGTTGGCCGAGTGTTGTGCCCTGCCCTCGCTGTGGAGGGAGCGGAGGAGGCCCTGCCGCCTGCCCTGCCCTCCTGCTGCTGCCCTGCTCTGCCCTATGTTCTTGCTGCCAGCCGCCCAAGCTTCCATGAACTGAATGGCTACTTTCTGCCCATGCGTTTCAATTTACTCAAACCGATTGTTCGTCTCTGCAACCAAGCGCTCATGGCTCTGCCACCCAAACCGTTCAACACACACCTTTTATTTTATCATTTGCTTGAGGGCTTAGGGTTTAGGGTTTGGGGGGTTCGGATCCAAGAATCCCTTCACTTTGGGAATGTTCGACTTGAGTGAAGTACGATTTTGGGGATCCACAGACCGGAGCTAACTCAAAGAGCCATCCGCTTTCTCCTTGGGTCTTGCGCTGTAGGCCGCGACTGCCACTTCGGGCCTTAGGCTCATCCTTGTCCTGTTCTTCCGAACTGCATTACATGGGTTTTCGGGTTTAGGGCCTAGGGCTCCAAAAGGAAAAGCTTCTGGGATTGTTGAACTCTGAACCCGCGGCCTGTTGCTTCTTGCCAGTGTCGGGCTTGGAGATCCGGAATTGGCCAGCAACGAACCCAATCATCGGGACTATGTACAGAAGCACCTGACCTCCAACGGAAGCGGTTGACACCGAGGCCTACTAGTAGGAGTAAAGCTGCGGGAATTTGCTTCGCACAGCCCCCCGAAACATGATCTGGTCGAGAAGCTCATGGCGTGCGCAGTTCGGTATCACCGATGTCAGCACGACCTTAGCAACCTTAGTAGGACGCAACCGACTTGAAAATCGTCGCCACTAAGCATCATGAACTGCTGATAAGTCAAACCCTTGAGCCAAACATCAGCGGTTTAGATTTTAAGGTCTTCCCTTCTGGGCCTGGGCGCCCACAAACTAAGGGGCCTTAACAAATATAATAGGGTTTTGGGGTGTAGTATACTACAGCTATAATAAGGAACCCCCCCACCAAAAAAAAGAAAAAGACCACAGTATAGGTAATTATTTAAGCCCCTATAATACGAAAACTCTTTGGTTTTGGGGGCTCTTGGGTGCATCTTCGGCTTTGGGTCGCAGACGACTTCTAGGCGAAGGCCTGATACAGGAAACAACAAGAAGAATGGGGGGAGAAAATGGAAGTTCTACTGTTCTAGATCTATCTATCTATCTATCTATCTATCTACCTATCTATCTATCTATCTATCTATCTATCTATCTTTCTGTCTATCTACATACATAAGTATGTGTATATATATATATATGTATATGTATGCATGTGTGTGTGTGTCGATATATATATATATATATACAAAATGTATATGTATGTGTTTGTATATATAAACTCATATATGCAGTACATCTGTGTGTGTGCTTGGAGGTTAGTGGCTTTAGGATCCACCTAAACGGATAACAGCTGCAGTGGCAGCGAGGAAGGGCAGCAGCAGCAGAAGCAGCAGCAAGAGCAGTAGACGTAGCAGAAGCGGTACGAACGGCAACAAGCATCGTAGCGATAAGAACCGCAGTAGCAACAACAGCAACAAAAAGAGTCATGATCTTCATGGTACAGTAGTCAGAGCAGTGCACAACGACCAGAGGTCGTCGCGATGTTGTTCTTTCTCCGCACTCACATCTGGCAGCGCAAAGCTTCAACCTGGGCAGATTGCTTGCTTGCTGATGTGGGAAGCGGCGGTGGCGACACACAGGAACCGCAAAGCCACAAGGTTTTGAGCCCAATCTCCAACATCCATTCAGTCTCCGACCGATTCCACGCCTTGGTTTCCCCAAAAAAACCCTAAACCCTAAACCTAGGTTTGCCCGACCTGGTAAAAAATACAGACTGCGGGAGCCCCACCAAAGCCAAAACAGGGAGCAAGGGGGCAAAGCCGAAAAGACTCAAGCCTCATGCACAAGCCTTCGTGCATGGGTGTGCGAACCCAAAAAGAAGCCTTCTTGCCCGGACGACCACCGCTGCTACTGCTACTGCTACAGCCGCAGCTACTACTCAGAATAGTACTTCCCCTCCTCCTCTCCTCCTCATCCTACTCGTATTAGCGCCACCACCACCGCGATAGACTTAGACAGATTCCGACGGAAAATGCTTCCCTAAACCCTAAAACCCTAAAACCCTAAAACCCTAAAGCCCTAAACCCTTAGCCCTTCTCTGCACATCCCGAAGCCCTAAACCCCGAAGCCCCGAGACCCTGCAGAGCCCCGGACGCTTCGGGTGCAGCGCATCAAACAGCGCCTCGCCGAAGATCCAACAAACACGGGTTTAGGGGTTGAGGGTTTAAGGTTACGGGTTTAGGGGTTGAGGGTTTAAGGTTTAGGGTTTTAGGGTTTAGGGCTTGCGCAGTGGCCGATAATCCATCGAAAGATGGCGCCACCTCACACCAGGGT